TATAAATCTTAGTCTTCATAGCGGATTCAAATTTTTCATAGTATCTTTTCACCGAATAATCGATATTCTTATTCGACGACTTCCTCTTCGGAAATCTTCGACGGGATGATGAATCTGATGATACTTTTTTAGATGGCCGCTTTTCGGATGTCGTCACTTCGACACGATCATTAAATGCACTATTAAACTTTTCATAATACAATTTCTCCGAATAATTATGTTCGTGCTCGATAGTTGTGCTACGCACTGGATATTTTCTACGAACTCTCTTTTTAGGTCTATAATCGATCTCTTCGGTAAATTCCGAATCATCCTAATTCATCATGCATTTAAAAAACCATGATAGAAAACACGCGAAATGACTAACGCAAAATAAAAAAATACTGCCACCTCAGAATCGAAGTTATTTTCATCCTCATACTCATCTGTATCCTCGTTCTCACTCCCATTTTCGCCCACCTCCTCATTTTCATCCTCGTCCAAGAAAATAACGGTTTTCTTTACCGATTTTCCTAGTTTGCCTACAGGTTCGGGATTTTTCCCGTGACGAACAGAAACTTCCACTGCCTCTTTAGACGGCGTATGCTCGCTACCGTCATTGGCTTTATATATCGAAGCTTCGGTTTTACGTTTGGGTTTTGTGGCCCCCTTTCTTGGCATTTTTTTGCGATGGTTGGAGTGTGTGTGCGACGTTTGAGAATTTTATGTCCGAGATACGCATATATGCTAGCCAATCACATGATGTACCATTGATTTCTTAAATTGGATGATATTTCTAAGATTACTCTTATATTAACCCTGATATGGAAAACCAGAATGTTTGTTAGTTTAACAAAATTCTATTACTACAAGATTCCGATATCCATCTTCGTTACAATGGCATCTCAATTTTAAAATAGATTTTTATAAATTACATTAAAAATCTATACTTGTTGATAAAACGGCATATAAAATTATAATGATATATAATTTATTTAAAAAAATTTTTTTTTGTTCATTCGAACGTTTATTAAAAATTAGATTACAACTATAATGTAACAGTTTTAAGCTTAAAACTTCAATTATTTAATCATGTGGATTAAATAAGAACATTAAAAAAAAGTTTTTTTAAAAAGTAAAAAATTAACTGGTATAAGATCCTTAAATTGATTGATAACGCGAATGAACTACTGATTTTGGTAATCAATTTCTTGAGCCCTAACCAACGGCGTGCTTCATGTTCACGAAAACGTTTTTTTCCAGTTCTCTTAGGACGATCTGTCGAAGTTCACATATTTTTGATAAGACCTTCACCAACTTCAAGATAGCTAATCAAATAAAGTACCGATCCCCCTTATCGTCGTTAGCACGTTCAAAAATGACCAACACTTCTTCAGGCTATGACCTATTTCCGACCAAACCGAATGAACCTCTTTTGCCATACAGCAATAATGAAAGTGCGAGCTCTACCTCTTCAAGACAATATAGCACAGAAACTTCGAAAGCTAAAGAATTGGAACGTTGGAGCTGGCCATGGTGGAAAGAGTGGGCGATTATCTTTATCGTTTTTGGTATTACTGGTTCAACTACTGTCAGGATCGTCCGACCCATAGTAACCAATGTTTTCGGAATTGAAGGTAATAAAATTAATGGTTCTATTATAGATCATTGCATGATTACCGATGAACTATGCTTTCGTTTATTGCAGGTAGCTTCAGAGAAGGTCCTTGGTCGTATAGACTCACCTATCTTAGTATAACTCTTCCGCTATATTCTATCATCCTTTTCTGTGTGGGAACATTATTTCGAAGGCAACAATA